TAAACAAAAATAACCTTTATATCGTTTATGGCCTGTAGCTATATGTGCCTGGAGAATTATAGAAAACATTTCCTCAGTCGCCACAATCATCGGAATCTCCTTGACGCTTCTTGATCAATTTTTCCACACCACCCACAGTTATTATATCAAAACGCTTTATCCTTCTATATTGTTTCGCACACAAAGTTTTTTAGAAAATCAAAAATCAGTTTTAAGAAAATTTGCCTCCTTAACTTCAGTCAATATCGTTAGGTATTGGTTTTTCGACATAAGCTTATGTTTCTGTGTTTTAGCCATCATCAATCGACTTACTTGAATTTCGAACTCGGCTTCCAATTTTTCTTGCATTTTTATATTTTATTTTACCAAGTATTGCATATTTCCACCCACAACAAAATCAAAATAAGAATCCTTTAAAACCTAAACAAACTGCTAACCCTACTTTTTGCTGTCTTATTTAAAGAAAACGAGCAAAACTAGTATTGGGCATTTTGAAATGCACCAAACTAGTTTTGCGCAATTCAAAATGCACAATACTAGTCTTGGCTATTTTGTAATGCGCAATACCCGTTTAAATGTACAATTTCGGGTTTGGGAAATATTTTTTGCTCAAAACTAGTTCTGTGCATTTTTTTCGGGCATTGCCCGAATTCGAGTATTGTGCGTAGCATATGTATAGAAGTATGATGACAATCCTTTCTTGCATCGTGTCCTAATTAATGCATTTTCCCTAATCGGTGGAAGGGAAATCGGCCTTTCCAACATTTTTTTATCGCACTGAAAATCTCCACAGCAAAGAATTCCTTTGTCACGGCTGCATATAGAAAATAAGGTACTTAAATTTATTTTTAAAGCAATAAAACATTAAAGAATTGTAAAATATTTATACTAGCAAATAATAGATTTTCCAGTGGCGTGCAACAAGTACTTAAAAGATGAGTGAGCTCTAAGTTTCAAAAACGAGGTATATACAGTGATTCTATACGATTCGGCGACAGGAATCTAATATATATTATTTGTCTAGGCTATCAAATTTCTTTGTCAAAGATCGTTTATAGTAGGTAGGTGTTTGATGAAAAATTTGGTAGTGCTAATATACAATTATAAAATCACCATATATTACACTATCAAATTCTTCATAAAATATCTTTTAAATAAAATCTTTGACAAAGGAATTTTATAGTATAATGGTGGCTTTAGACAAAAATTTTACATTTTTCGATAGCGTTATCTATAAATCCTTATGGTTAAGTTGGTAAGGAAATCATATTGTTTGTCAGTTGTAACTGGGAGGAGGGATGTTACTTTGGTATATTTCTAGTATTGTTTTGATATTTGTATATATAATAATATATATAAAAATATATATAATAATAATAATAATAACAGTTATAATAAAACATAATAACAATAATAACAAACTAGCAACCTATTTTATGCAAAGGGATACTTACCTTCATCGAGCAATATGCGAGATTGACCGAGGCTACTCTTCCTTGAACCTGGCTTCCCATATCCCAACGGAAGTTCCATCGGTTCAGGAACAGCTGAGGGAACTTTGAGGAAAGGCTCTGCATGGAAGGTATGCCAACGAAAGCCAGGCAGAAGGAATTGATAAAAGTGGATCTATACAATTCCTTACAAACATTAACCTCATGGGAGAAACCGAGGGCTTCATATGTGCAATACAAGATCAAGTGGTTAGCACTAGAGCGCGTAGGAGGCAAATTTTAAAACAAAACATACCAACTGACAAATGTAGAGTATGTCATAAGATTAGCGAATCCATCCAACATATCAGCTCTGGATGTGAGAGTCTTGCGTCAGTCCACTACACGGAAAGACACGACAACATAGCAAAGATTATTCACCTGGAAATGCTAAAGTACCTAAAAATCAAGAACCCTGAAAAGAAATATTATGAATACAGGCCACAAGAATTAGAGGAAAACGAACATCATAAAGTATACTGGAATACGCAAATACAGACAGACAGATCAGTAGTTCATAATAAGCCAGACATTGTTTGGATAGATAAAAACGAAAAGAAAGCCTACTTAATCGACGTAGCTGTACCACTAGATCACAACGTAGTCAAAACTGCAAAGGAAACAAATTTCGAAGTATCAAGACTTGGCTTTCGATATGAGGCAAACCTATCATCTAAAAGCAACCCGAGTAATACCACTCGTCATTTCAAGCAATGGTCTGGTTCACATTGATTTTGAGAAGAACTTAAAGGAGCTGAAGCTACCAGAAAATATCACAAGTCAATGTATTAAAGCAGGTATTTTGGGTACGGTGAACATAGTCCGCAGAGTAATGAACATGGAGCCTTGAATGGAAATATTCCGGCGACATGTCATGGTACAACCGATAGAATCGTGAAAAAAAAAATAATAATAATAATAACAGTTTATATATTGTAATATATAAACTGTTTACTATTTTTAGAGTCCTCTGGGATTACACAATCTTTTGGGATTATGAAATTTTCTAGAAACCTTAAACAGCGTACACACTATGCTAGAAACAATTCGAAACGTGTCAAGGTCGCATTTCGTCGCCCAACTTTGAACGCATTTCGATTTATTTCCGGTTGTCTTGACCCACTTGACCCACACACACAAAAAGAAAGAAAGATGAATTGACTTTTATTGTTTTTAAGAGATATCTGTAAATGATACTTTTATTAGCAGCCAGGATGTTTTGATATAAACCCATTCAACTCGTATTTATTATGCAGGGGGATTTAGACAATTAAAACAAGAAAAACAAAACCAAATTCGTAAACTAAACTTTGCTATAGACTACAGTATAAATGCCACTTTACCATAACCAGAAATAATAAATAACTAGACGATTTTTTAAATAATTTTGTGTATATTTTTTCTAAATGCAGTGTTTTTGATTTTTCATATCATTTTAATATAGTGGTATTACATTACACTCCATTACTAATTAATGGATATTTATTCATGCTCCCCATGTTTACTTATTTTCCTGAAGTCACCTCAACGTTGCCTCGTGCTATTTCACAAAATAGCACGATAAATATAAGCCCATGTTATAAAAATTAGTTCCCACGTTTCCTGAAATTGATTGAGATGCGCCGTGATTGGTTGTTTGTTTTTTATTGTTAATCTTGGTTAACAGTAAAAAACAAACAACCAATCACGGCGGGTCTCGACCAATTTCGGGAAACGTGGGAACTAATTTTTATAACACGGCCTTATACTTTTTTCTTATTTCTTATTTTCAGAAATGTTTTGCGAAACTTTTCACGAAATATTTCGTAAAACATTTCGGGGATAGTGTAGCCGTTGTTTTATGATTTCTCCTGGTAAACTCATATTATTCTTTTGTTTTATGTATCTCTTCTGGTAATCGGACAGAAGCTGGTAATCGGACAGAAGAATCTTGTTTTGTTTATGCCCGGGAACACCGTCATTTTTGGTTTTTCTTTTGTATGCTGTTGTTATCAATAGCAGGCAGCAGTTGTATAGTAGTAAAACACAGTACGGCGTGGTAGACTGTAACGAGCATACAACAGCTTCTGAACTGGAATGATACGAGTAGAAGCAACACACTAATAAGTCTTGAATTTTATCTGATTTAAATTTAATCCTCCTCCTCCTCCTAGATGCCTTCTCTGTTGAGGTTGGCATGCGATATGGCATATGACTCTTTGTCCAGATTCCGTCCGTGTGGGTCCAATCTCTTATGTTACATAGCCATGACTTCTTTTTCCTCCCTATGCTACGTTTTCCATCGATTTTTACTTATATTATCAGCTGTATTTCTTCATATTCTGAGTGCCGCATTATGTGTCAAAGGTAGGAAGTCTTTTTGATTTTAATTATGCCTGTTAGGTGTGCACGAGTTTTAATTTATTTAAAAATTCACAGTTTGTTGTTCTGGAGGCCCAACTTATCCCCAGCATCCGATAGTACATCCACATTTCAAAAGCATTTTGATGCCTTAGCAACTCGTTTGATGTCTTCTTGTTTTAGGGTCTATGTTTCACATCGCAGAGGCCATATATAACGTTTTAATATTCTTGGCCTCGTTGGTATAGCTATTTTCTGATGGCACGAGAACTTCTGCACGTTGAGAGCTATTTAGCTATTTCAATTCTTCTTCTGATTTCCTTAGAGTGGTCTAGCTGGCTGTTTAATCCCTGCCCAAATAAATAATTCAATTTAATGGCAAAGACATTTTATTTATAAGGATTCACTTTAATAGTTCCATCAATAATTAACACTAGTGATACATAATTTTTATCACCCGCCCTTTTCGTTACTACATATTATTATTTCTTTATATTTTTAGGTATGGTAGAGTAATGAAATAATGAAAAAAATAATAAAATTATTAATGAAACTAAAAGAATTTCGGACTTCCGTTGTCTTTATTTGTTTTTCTTACACAACGTTTTGGTCAGAAGTATCACTGACCGTTATCAAGTCTGAATTGTGACACGGGATCAGTTCACACTTGATAACGGTCGGTGATATTTCTGACCGAAACGTTGTGTAAGCCAAATAAATAAAGACAATGGAAGCCCGAAATTCTTTTAGTTTCAATACTGAATCATTGTCTATTACAGTCAAAGTAAAATTATGAATCTAGAAGCACAATGATAAAGTACGTATGACTTTATCGAGCACTAAAATTTTTCTTTACTTTCCCAGTAGAGTTGTAGGGGAAAACTGTATAAAAGTTAATTTTAATTTATGAAATTACTGAGTACTTATGTTATGAGGACAAAAAAGTTATTAACTCTCGAATATGTAAATACCAAATCTTTTTAATTGAAAATTAAAAACTTCTTTAAATTTAAAATTTATACCAAAATTCAACAACACAGAAAATGTATAGGAGATGAACCTGGGGGAAGTCGCGAGTAAAAACTGGTTACTCTATATTTTAAATTTTAAAGACAGGGTTAGATACTTTTAAAAATATATGTTTTTTATTTATACGTGTTTTTTTGATAGGTCGCTGGAAAGCGTGATCCTGACCAAGAAAGAGAAGCTCAAGCATGGATTGAATCAGTCATAGGCCAGAAATTTCCTCCTGTCCCCTATGAATATGCCCTAAGAGATGGTATCATTCTGTGCAAATTAATGAACAGACTTCAGCCTGGCATTATTTCTAGAATAAATACATCTGGAGGAGATTACAAAATGATGGACAATCTTAGCCAGTAAGTAAATACAAATTCGCATATAAACTAAAATTTATTATAATGAATTTGTTAATCAATCAAACGAGTATCAGTTTAATGCTAACGAAAATTATTTTTATCCGGATCAATGGATAATCCAATATCCAGAAATACCAATATCCAGAATTTAAATATGACAATAATACTAATAAAATTTAAACTTAGAGAATAACCAAATTTTCCAGGTGACCCCGAAATTAGACAACCCGATGTAATACGTAAAATATTTAAATAATACGTCATATTCAAAATATTCACATATACCAATGATTTTTATACCCAAATTAAGCTTAGTTTTCATGCGTCCAAGTTGGCGGCATAAAAGTCCTAAAATGTTAAAAAAGTTGTAACGATTATCTGAATTTCAGACGTTAATAGCTATCATAACAAAATTAACTAAGAAATTTGTAGGAAATATACTATATATCCATTAACTCTAAATTTTAACTTTTTAAAATATACGATGCCATCCATGAAAACTATTATTTTATCCCAGTCAAAATAGACATTTCAATTAACAATAATTCGCATAGAGCTGAAAATTGGTACAGGTCTTAAATACACTTATTATGAACTAGCGTGTACCAGCGATTTCGTTCGCGTCGAATTAATCATTTATAATGGTGATGATAAAGCAGAGCAAGAATTTCCATTAACACACAAACTGGATAAAATTTTCTCACATTTATGTCAGCATGAGGAAAAACAATATGGCGATATTATTATATAACTTGGTAATACTTGAGGGGTACATCTCGTTGGAATTTGACTTTCGAAAAATCTGTTTGCCAAAAATAAGCTTTTTACGTCAAGCAGTTTAAGCAGAATCGTGGTTAAGAAATTACCCAACTTTTTGGAACACCCTGTATGATTTTTTAAAAAATTTCAAAATATGTAAAAAAAACAAATAAATTATGCTTGTCCAAGCGTTTTCCCGAAAGACTAACCGTTTTTAAATAACAAATATTGTAATATTTGAGGGGCGTTTTCACTCTCTTGGAGATTGAGATTCGAGAAACCCCTCCTTATCGAACCTCTACACCCCACAGTCAATCCGTTTGCCAAAAATCATCTTTAAACGTCGAGCAGTTGAAGCAGAATCGTGATTACTATATTTTATGAAACACTCTGTATAAATTTATAAAAAATCTTAAAATATGTAAAACAACAAAATAAAATATACGTGTTTAAGAGAGTTTTTCCGAAAAACCCACTGGTTTTTAAATAAAAAATATTTTAATATTTGAGGGATAGTTTCACCCCTTTAGAATTCGAGTTTCGAAAAATCCCTTCTTATCAAACCTCTACACCCTAAAGTCAATCTGTTTTCCAAAAATCAGCTTCTTACGTCAAGCGCTTTAAGCAGGATCGTGATTAATCAATGACCAGATTTTTCGAAACACCCTGTATACATTTTTAAAAATCTTAAAATATGTAAAACAACAAAATAAAATATACGTGTTTAAGAGTTTTTCCGAAAAACCCACTGGTTTTTAAATAAAAAATATTTTAATATTTGAGGGATAGTTTCACCCCTTTAGAATTCGAGTTTCGAAAAATCCCTTCTTATCAAACCTCTACACCCTAAAGTCAATCTGTTTTCCAAAAATCAGCTTCTTACGTCAAGCGCTTTAAGCAGGATCGTGATTAATCAATGACCAGATTTTTCGAAACACCCTGTAAACATTTTTAAAAATCTTAAAATATGTAAAAAAACAAAATAAAATATACGTGTTTAAGAGTTTTTTCGTAAACTTGACCGTTTTTTAAATAAAAAATATTGTAATATTTGAGTGGTGGTTTCACCCTCTTGGAACTGGAAATTCGAAAAATCCCTTCTTATCGAACCTCGACACCCTAGAATCAACCTGCATGCCAAAATTGAGCTTCTTACGTTGAGTGGTTTGAGCAGGATCGTGATTAATCAGTATGTCAGTCACCTAAGGATTTTATATATTAGTATAGATATATTATTATATTACATTATATATCTGAAATATCTGTAAAAGTCGTATTTTTCATGATATGCACACATTGCACCACCTGTGTGGTAGTGTACTTGGCGCGTTTTTTTTAACATGGTTTCCTCTGTAGGCTTAGCCCACGATCTATTGTGGTTAAGTTTTATTACACATAATACTATTAATTATAAAAAATAAGTAATCTTCAAATGATACTTCAACGGTAATGTCTTCTTCGCTTTCTTTTTTCTCATCTTCTTGCCGAATATCTGGAACTCCATCTATGACAGATGCATCAGTTGTGTCCTCATCAAAATCCTCATCTGTATTTAAGTCAATATTTGTAGCAAGACTGACCTTGACAATTAGTACATATTGGTGTACAAAACAATCCGACTCTTTTACCACCACAGTTTGCGCTACAGCGCTTTTTGCAATTGCAAAAATTGTGTTAAGTAGTTTTTTTGCACCAGGTGGAAGTAAAGTTTTAATCGGCTCCAAAGTATTATCTATAAATTTTCAACCCCAGTCTTCTTGGTTCAGTTGATTGCTTAGCCACAATTGAACTTGATAGTATACACAATATAAGTGTTGACAGGCAGAAGCAGATGTTGGAGGAAGACAAGAAAGTTGTACCATTTTATTGTTCCGAGTAATTTTAACAAAACTTAAATATCTATACTTGTCTATAGAATAATTTTTTTGGAGCACGTTATATGGCAAGAAGCAAGCGAATTCCACTTGTGATGATGAATTGTGGAGAAGAGTCAATCTTTTTGAGTACGCCTGCACAATCAATTAAATCATTACGTGTTTCAAACATTTTAAATACTGCTTTTTTGTCCCTTTTAAACAATGCAGAAGTAGTGTCGCAGCCAGTTATTGCGTGTAGAAGTGAGACATGAGATTGACATTGTGGAAATGTAGATACATTTTCCGAGGAATATATTTTAGTTTGTACTTTCCCAGGTTTCAAAAAGTAAATAATCTTATCAATTGGAGTTCGTGCAGTCAGTAGTATTAACAAGTCAACATCTTGACCAACAACGATTGTTGTATTTGCTCTATTGGATTGTTCTATGGCTGCTTCAATTATGAGGACATCAGCGTCATTATCAGCTTGTTTCACTAAAATGTTCGCAGTTGTAAACTTTTCAGATAACATTAAAATGAAGCGAGACTTGTTGTGCATATTTGCAAGAAATTGTTGTTGGTTTGTTGGAGCTGTCATAAATAGATCAAAAACGACATCAGAACCCGAAACCCGTTACAATATTTTTATTAAATTGAGCCTCCTATGATGCATACCAACCGAGTATGTGTGCATATTAGTACTTTCGATGTTTGAAATCGCCATATCTTAGGAATGGTGGTTGGTAAGAAAAAAAGTATATATCTTTTTTCGAAAAGTATAAGAACCATTATTGTAGAAAATTTAATGGTCTACAACATTTGTTTAAGGTACTTTTGCGATAGCGCTTACCGTTTTGGAGAAAAAAAGCAAAAAACATATTTTTGACCTTTAACCTTAAATATTTTTTTAGCAGACGTGGGAGCGGTGGGGACTTTTCAGATATCATTTATAATAGTGTATTTAAGACCTGTACCAAATTTCAGCTCTATGCGAATTATTGTTATTTAACCCCCTTTTTTTGTTTATTTTGACTTTTGACTGGGGTATTTGTACCTAAGTTTTATTCGATACCAGGGTTAGCTTATAATTTTTATTCAGAATATATTGTCAATGAGAATTTTCCTGTTAAGAGAGCACACAAGTTTTAGTAATTCCTATATTTATAGGAATATGTATTAATAGAGACGGTTGACATAATTTTTTTATATTTGATTTTTCAGAAAAATCTGATGTATTATTAGATATATGATTTTTAAAACAAATTTATGCAAATTTAGATATGGTTTAGCGAACAAAGTTAAAATTGTGTGTTGTTGGAGAGTAAAATTATACAACAAAAAGAAAATGTATGAGCGGAATGTCTTTGTTTAGAGCGAAAATAAAAACATTTAATTCCAATAAGCTATTTTATAAAGGGGGACCAAAAACGAAAAAGTTACTATATTATAGATAAATATTACTATATATAGATAAATATTACAAGGAAAACAAGAAAAACAAAATATAATATAATATGTATTGTATGACCACCTCTATTGTTTGAGAGCTCTATATCGGCGAGGCATATACTTCTAACTATAAACATGGGTATAGAAATGCATGGTTTTAAAGTTTCAGGAAATGTAAGAATAACTTTTTGTGTTAAATTTTTCTACTCTTGTTGCATGATGTGGCAATAATGTTATGTTACACATCCTTTTTCTTTAATAAAGACGATTTTTTTATTATTATATGTTAAAAGCTTTTAAAATTAGTTCAAAAAACTAAAACTTAAAAAAATATTCAGAAATTATTATTTCAAGGAATTTATTACGAGTAGAAAAAAAATTGTGCTGGGTTGGCGTTGGTTTCTATGTAATTTGACAAATAAATAAAGCTGTCTCTTTAGTTGTCAGTTTTGAGTCAATATTTTTAATTCTCTGTCGTGTCGATTGCTGACTGAATTAGAGCCAGAAATGGCTCAAAACGAAATAAGTACATTACCAACAGATATTCAGGCTGAGGCGACAAACGCCATATCCAAACTACTTCCATTTAAATCCCGAATAACTTATGAAAAGGAATACAAACATTTTCAAAAATGGAAGCAATTAAAAAAACGTGCGAGAAGAAATAAAGTTTTTAACATATCCTAGCTGTTAAAGTATCATTTAATCTACCCTTGCGGTTAAAGCACTATTTTATCTACTATTTTTGATAGATATAAGGCAATTTTAACAGTTGCCATGGAAAAAACGAAATATATTATTTGTATTTAACTTTTCGAGGGCTGTAATTTTTTCGGCAAGCATTTTAGGTCATACGTTCATAGGAACTTTTTGTTTTATTTGTATCTGTAGAATCACCCACCTAAGTTAGATACACTATTTTTTTGACACCCTGTATACTACCATTGTTAATAATGGCAAATAAAATAATTTTCAGATTTCAAAAGGCATGTGTAAAATATGGAGTTCCTGATGTAGATCTTTTCCAAACAACTGATTTATGGGATCAAAAGAATATTGCTTTAGTTACTACCACCATTTTTGCAATCGGTCGTACTTGTTATAAACACCCTGAGTGGAGAGGACCTTTTCTAGGTGAGTACAAACAAAATAAAGCTGTAGGATAATAAGACCACTTTGTCTAAAATATGTTATATACTGATATTAAAACAGGTATCTTGATTTCAGTTATTATACCGGGTGCGTCTCAAAAGTGGCTCACCCCTATATTTTTTTTATTTTTTCAGATAAAAAAACGAGATTTGGTGTGTTAGTATATGACATAAATTAAGATAGATTGGTGTATTCAATTGTTTTTGGTCTCTTCCTGTTTCACAGGAAATTACTACAACTTTTGATTTTTAAATGGCAACCTCGGTATTTTTTTACTTTATTCGATAGAAAATGACATTCTGAATATAATGATATGTCATATGTCAACTTTTGACATTCGCGCTTAATAAAAAATTGTATTTTAAAATTCAATCTAGAGTGCCATGGATATGGTAAAAACACTAATTCTTTATCAAGAAAATCTTTCCATTATCTTGGAAAAATAGATTTGATCATCTAATGTTTTTAGTGTCTTGTCTTGGCCAGTTAGAAAATGCTCAAATCGTATTTTTAATCATATCTCAATTTTTTTAAACGGAACGAGGGTGGCTCATTAGCTTATTTGGAAAAAGCATTTTTTTACGAATAATTTGATACCACGCACTTGGTATTTCAAGTCAAATTTTCGTTACGAACCGCAAGTTATAATTTCACATAAACCATATGCGAAAAGGTAAAAAGTTGACATATGATATATCATTCTATTCAGAGTGACATTTTCTATCGAATAATGTAAAAAAATACCGGGAGTGCCATTTAAAAATCAAAAGTTGTAGTCATTTCCGGTGAAACCGGAAGTGACCCAAAACAATTGAATACGTCAATCAATCCTTTTATCCAATTTATGTCATATATTAACATATCAAATCTCGTTTTTTTAACCAAAAAAATAAAAAAGTTATAGGGGTGAGCCACTTTTGAGACGACCCGGTATAGAAATGCGGGTATGCAAATCAGCTAGTATTCTTATAGTTTTACCTAAGTAATATAAGTTATTTGTTTGAATGTGCTAGACAATGATTCAGTATTGACACTAAAAGAATTTCGAAAATGTTAATGTCTTTATTTATCTTGACTCTTACACACATACATACAGGGTGAGTCTTAAATAAGTGCAAATATTTTCAGGACTGGTAGATTTCGATAAAAGAAATATATTTTCTCTTTTAACATTTTTCAAATTAGTCTCAAATAACCGAGATTTTTAATTTTGAAAATTTCTAAAAAAAATGTTTGCTTAAATTTTGAGAATAAGTGGATCTTTTCTGGATTTTCTTTCTTGTAAATTTAATCTACTTCTTATGTTTCTATATTATCAAGAAATTATGTTTTCTACAAACTAAAAACTAAAAACATTTCCAAATTTTTTTTCAAAAAATTCTAAATTTACAAAAAAAAATGTTCGCATTTAACCATTTGACTATCAACTCACTATGAACTAACTATGAACTCATAATGCAACTCTTTGACTGACTATGAACTAACTCCGCTCTCTTCAGTATACTCGGTTACCTTTTCAGCATCGCCGGTTACGTCGTCAAAATAGTTACCAATCTAATTACACTAACCCGGTTATGACCATGAGGAAATCGAACTTCGGTGACCTGCGTTTGATTATCGACACAGATTGTTATATTTTAATTGTTTAATTATTTATTAATGTTATTTATAATAACATATCTGGGTCGATGGCATGCAGGTGCAACTGATCCGGGCTTACATCAAATTGATTTACTAGAATTATATTTTACGTGATTTTTCCCAATTTGATATAAACCCAAGTTGACATCTATTTAAGTCTTGACAATATACAGGGCGCGTCAAAAATAAAGTATAGTTCATTATTTCATTTGTATTGAGAATTATTAAAAAATTTAAATAGAAAAGTTATAGGGATTAAGATGCACATTTTAAAATTATTATAGAGTATACAGGGTGCTTAAAAAAAGTAAAAAAGTAAAGATTTCATTTAACGTCTCCTTTTTGCTGCCAGGGCTAATCTGGACGGGGCCAACTTTGTTTACGCGGAATTCGAACCGCGGTCCTCGGCCATATCATGGTCAATGGCCTACCGACTTGGCAAGTGTCTAAATCGACTCTTACTCACGAGATATCCGATCTCATCCGGCCTCGAACCGGCGTAAATGAGCAGTGTGTGTCAATAGATTTTACACTTTTGCCTTTATTGGACAACAGCACGATACAGAGTTTCGAACCGGTCACCCGTCCATCCACTAGTATCGCCTTACGTTGCTTAACTTCGGTGTTCTAATGGGAACCGGTGTTTCGACGTAGTTGGGCCGTTGCCCTGCTTCAAAAAAGCGTGGCGGAGATAATATTATATATAATATCCGCTATGCCTTTTTAGAACATCTTGTATACTCTATAATAATTATAAAATATGAATATTAACCTTCTCTATAACTTTTCTATTTAACATTTTTTGTAAATCTCGAACCAAATGAGATAATGGACTTTATTCCATCGTTAACTCACCTTGTACAAGTCGTACTCTCTAAAACGGCTACGTGGTGTATTCATCTGCCCGCAAAACTTGCTCTTGAAGCCGCCCTTGAATGGATTCATAATAAAGCTTTTCGATATTGTTTAGACTTATTTTTAACGAAATGACTGTTCTATACTTGTTCCAATTATGGAATTATGTATTGTGAATCGGGAATGATGCCTTTGACAAAGGAAGAAGATGGATTTTGATGAATACCTGCAACCTAACTTCCTCAATTTTAAAACGAGTAAAAATAAAAAAAAAATGAATGTATTCCTATTTCCTGTACCTACATAATGTGTACATTAATAGACCCACCATAACTCGCCCACTTATTGTAAGATATTTTGAGTATATATGTATAACGAAATTTGGAACTGTTTTGCCAAAAAAAAAACGAGGAGGATGATATCACCAAAGTGCGCAAACTACACTTCAAATCTTTATTTAATGAAAATATTATTCGAGAGTGGCAATACAGTTACATTGGTTCGTAATACTTGGAACAAAACAGATACCTTGGTCCATAAAATAGAACCAAATGTTAGGATGAAATACATATCATTCAACTTGCCCAGAGTTGCCTCCATACGAGTAGAGATGGGTACCTAGAGATGGGGACCTATCTCCGGTGCAGGTATTGATGGATGCAGATCCTACTTAATATCGACCCCTATCCGCAGAAATGCATTGCTGACAGTCAACCGGCCACATCGTCGGCAGATAGCGCAAACATAACGATGCGATGCAGCGAAATAAATCAGTATTGGAGAGTATTATATATATATTATTGGAATAAAGAAGGAATTGTAACTCCTGCCTGAGTTGTTTACTGTTTTATAAGTTTACTTTCGTGAAATCGTAATGGTATTCGAAATTTTTTTGTATTTGAAATTTGTATTGTGTAGTGGTCAAATATTTTATTGGCAAATTCAAGAAATTTAGAATATGTTATGATCGTACAGGGTTCGTCAAATCAATCAGCAGACGAGGACTACGTTCAAATTTAGTTTTAGTTTCTTTTTTGTAAAAAATGCCATTTTATTTTTTTTTGAAATGATATAGATCCGGCGGAACTGGAACCTGGACCCTGGATGCAGGTCCATGAAGCTTAATGTAACTCCGGATCCGACTCTTTTAAAATACCGGATTTACCGGATTTTTATACTATTAGATAGAGCGAAAAAAAGTCTATACGGTGGTATCTAATTATTATTCATTATTAAGTAAATTCATTAAAATAGATTTTTTAGAAATTCTCCTAAGATCAAGTCTGCGTTGGAAATCCAATTGACACTTTATATGTCAGCAAGTTATTTTTTGTTTACTCTATTAAGTGTCAAATCTGGACGCACAGAAATTGTATATTATTATATACAATTTTTGTGCGTCCAGATTTAGTTCTAGTAGAGTTCCATACAGGTCAATGCAGAACCTAAAATTTTTATTTTCAAGTTTGCCAGCCCAGACGTTCAAAGAATATCTTATTTATCGTTTGGTTTCTCTAACTAAATGAGAATTTTATTTTGCATAATGTGATTTTTTTTTTTCTGTTAAATATATCAGAATTTGTAAATAAAATTTGGTGCACATTTAAATTTTGAAGTTGTGATATTTATGTTGTTTGATAAGATTGTTTGATTTTCCCTTCATAATAATCACTTATACAACACTCGCTTATTTTAATAACTTATTTTACCGCTAGAAGTTTCCCGATTTATCTGAGCTGGCACATTAATGTCATTAAGCCTTTTAAAATATTGCCCTCTTGTTTTTTAAACTGCTAAACTAAATTTCTTGAAATCCTTGGAAAATAGTACGATGACGCTGTGTAATTTCAGGATATGTTCTATAACTTGCGCTTGCCATATCGAAATTTGTATTATTTTTTAAGTACATATCTCGTGTTTCCTCACTTTTGAACATTTTGTTGACTGTTAATACACTTTACACTATCTACTATAAATTTTTGTGTCCAGATTTGACACTTAATAGAGTAAACAAAAATTAACTTGCTGTCATGTAAAGTGTCAATTGGATTTCCAAGGCAGACTTGATCTTTTGAACGAATTTTTGAAAAATCTATTTTTTTAGTGAATTTAAATAATAATGAATAAAAATTAGATACTACCGTATAGATTATTTTTTGCTGTATGTTATAGTATAAAAATTCAAAATGGCGGTTATAAAAAAACAAAACTTGACTGTTGTGCGAAATCTAGAAGGCTTGGAATTTTTTTGAAAACGGCATTTAATTGGCCGATGTCAAAAATATAAAACTACCAACTTACGTTGCAATAGATAAAATAGTTCTGTTGCAATAGATAAAATACTCCCTGAGCTGATCAGAGGTTCACTAAATTTGTCTATATTTACATACATATATATACCGCCATCACTCGCTGATGAGTATTTGACACGCATCAGAAGATGGTCACGCAAGGCGTTTTCTTTCATGAGCTTTTCTGTGACTGAAAAGCCCGATACGTGATGTTATCTGTCTACCGCACTCCAGACATTCAAAAATCTCATTGCTTTGTTGCCTCTTTACTTTTTGGTTGTCGCTCTTAACTGACTTTACAATTCTTCTCCATTCCGTTCTATTGTGAGCTGCCCCTTCCCACTCATTCTGCTGCTACTACTCATTCTATATTTAAGGATAGAGTCACTGAATATTTGCGTGACTGAGGAATCTCTCAATATTTTTGATTATTTTATTTATGTGAATGTTGGTTGCACCTTTACCGTATTTGTGGGGAGATGTTATGTAATTTAAAGCCAAATTAAGTAACGTAAAAATAAAGATATATTTATTAATTATTTAGTTTATATTAATTACTTGCTGGTTATCTGCTATTTTGCATAAATAGGCGGATTCTTTCAAAATAACAGCACTTTTAGTTAGATTGTAAAATAGTCCGTTAGTTTTAAAACTAGCCAAGCATATATTTTAACTGTAACATATGTAAAAATGTGAGATAATTTTGGCGCCCATCGTGGGGCTATTTCAACAATTTGAGGCATATCGGTATGTTTAGATCTTTGTATTCTATACCGTCGACATTAGTTATTTCAGCTAATATTAATTGGATGTATTTATTTAGCCAATTTCAGTTTTATTGCAATAATTATTTATAGACTGTTGGATCCATTATCAAAAGGCTTATGACAGCATACCATTAAATAAATTGTGGGAAACGTTGGAAATAACTAATACAAATGTCAATTTACTTAAAGCAGTTAAGAACTTATACCAGAATACAACAGCTAGAATAAAAATACGAGACTCGTGGTAAGAAAACATAAAAATTACGAGAGGCCTCAAGCACCTGCTTGAAGCTTGAGAACGTGCTATTAGCAACCGAAATGGATTACTGGAGGAGATCTGCTGGAAAAAAGAAAAGAGAAAAAATAACCAACGACAGAGTAAGAGAGATTATGGGGACAGAACCGAGGACAGAACATACAATAATTGTGGATGACATAAGAACAAAACAACTCATATGGTTTGGTTATGTGCAACGAATACCCGATCACAAAATACAAAAAAAAAAAATTACTGTGGACACCGCGAGGCAGAAATAAAAGAGGAAGGCCACGACGAAGCAGGAGGTTTCACAACTTGAAAATAGAGAAATACCTGATGATCTCTGGCGAAATAGAGAAGAGTGGAGGTTAGGTGTCGGAAAACGTCGTAGAACGTTCTGAACCGACTTATAATATGGATATGGATTCACTAACCTTGCTACTTGTATTTTTTTAGGAAATAAAACAAATATTGAATTAGTTTAAATAATTTCTCTTATACAGTGATATTTTATATTAATTTTAGAATTAATATAAAAATATAATTTAAAAATATAATTCTTCCCTATGAACGCAAGTAAAGTTTAAATTACTGCATACAGGGTTACATTACAGTAACGATAGGATGATTTTTTTCTATCATTTATCCATATCAGCATATGCCCCATATACCAACTAAAGTTTTATTTGTTATAAATTGTATTACAATATAATATGTCATTCTGTTTTCGATTATACGAATAAGTAATGATATTAGTCAAATTATAATTTATTTTTTATATTTTAGGCCCCAGACCATCTGAAGAAAATAAACGAGAATTTTCAGAAAGTCAGTTGAGGGCTGGTGAAGCTATTATAGGCTTACAAGCTGGATCAAATAAAGGCGCTACACAGGCTGGTCAGAACTTTGGAGCATCTCGAAAAATTATTTTAGGGAAATAAAACAGTACATAATCAAATTTATATCAACAATTTATAACATATAATATAATCTATAACAACATTGTTAAATATAATAACTAACAATTTAAATCAAGTTTATAAAGTTATAGGTACTGATGACTTGATAGGTATACATATTTTCAATACCTAATAGCCTGTTAATAAATTATTATAATACAAAAAAGCTTTTATTTTTAAAATACATTTTACTGCTAATTAGATAAAATATAATCCATCATTAGTAAATTGTGTTTAACTGACGATGGAATACGTACATACTAAATTTTTAATGTCAATTCACTTAACGTGTGTTGTAGTTTGTAGGATTTTATACCCACTTTATTAAATTATAAATACACTAGGGTGTACCCGCGACTTCGTTCGCGTCGAATTAATCATTGTAATGGTGATGATAAAGCAAAGCAAGAATTTCCATGAACATACAAACTGGATAAAATTTTCTCACATTTATGTCAGCATGAGAAAAAACAATATGACGATATTATTATACAGGGTGAGCCTTAAAAAAGTGTAAATATTTTCGGGGCTGGTAGATCTCCATAAAAGAAACATTTTCTCTTTACCATTTTTTAAATAAGTCCAAAATAACCGAGTTATTTAAGTGTGAAAACTTAAAAAAATTGATTTTTTTTAAAAATTTTGAGAGCCACCGGTTTGGTTTGTATCTGCATCCATTTTGTATTGGTATTTGTATCCATTTTAGTGCCGTAACCATAGAGTAAAGGTGTAACTATGGTAACATCGGAGATTAAGAATTTATACAGTAGGAAAATTTGCAGTGAAACAGGCAGTTCTAAAAAGTTTTCGAAAAATATACAGAGAAATTTAAAAGAAAATGCATGATTTTCAACATCTTTTTTTGCGAAAAAAACCTCATAGACGTGTTCCTGGGGTCGAAATATACCACCCCTGAAAATATTTGCGCTTATTTAAGACTCACCCTGTATAACTTGGTAATATTTGAGAGGTAGTTTCATCTCGTTGGAATTTTCTTTCGAAAAATCCGTTTGCCAAAAATAAGCTTTTTACATCAAGCAGTTTAAGCAGAATCGTGGTTAATCTATTACCAACAAACTTTTTATCAAACTTTTGGAACACCCTGTATGATTTTTTAAAAAATTTTAAAACATGTATAAAAAGTAAATAAACTATGCGTGTCCAAGCGTTTTCCCGAAAGCTGTTTTTAAAATAACATATATTGTAATATTATTTGAGGAGCAGCGTTTTCACCCTCTTGGAATTTGAGATTCGAGAAACCCCTCCTTATCTAACCTCTACACCCCACAGTCAATCCGTTTGCCAAAAATCAGCTTTAAATGTCAAGCAGTTTAAGCAGAATCGTGATTACTCAATGGCCATATTTTATGAAACACTCTGTATAAATTTTTAAAAATCTTAAAATATGTACATATTTTAAGATTTTTAGTACATACAAATTCGCACAGGAGTACATACAAATTCGCACAAAAGCAAAAATAATGATTTCAGCATCCTGGATCCTAATAAAAAACCCTTTCAAAATCTTAGTCAAATGGCCGACTTCTGTAATAATTATTATATACAAGTAGGGAAAAAAATGGCATCCAAAATACATAAACCAAATAACTACGACAGTAATTACCGACGTACACGTACTATCACAAATATATTTTTGAAACCTGTTTCAACCAAAGAACTAACACTACATATAGGGTCTCTTAAAAACAATAGCGCACCTGGACATGACAAAGTAGGTACACAGATTATAAAAGACTATCACCTATATATAACCCGTCCACTTACACACATAATAAATATAATCTTTTTACAAGGAAGAATTCCTGATGACTTCAAGAAGTCTATTGTGGTCCCAATTTATAAAGCGGGTAATAAAACGGAAATTTCTAATTATCGACCAATAAGTTTAATAAGTTCTTTTGCTAAACTCTTTGAAAAGTGCCTCAAAGATAGACTGTATGATTTTTTAGTTAGCACTAAAACACTGCATCCCAACCAATTCGGCTTTCAAAGGGGCATTTGTAGCACTCATGCTATATTTGAACTTGTTGACTGTATTAAATCTAATCTAGATAAAAATAAAAAGTGTGTAGGTGTGTTTTTGGACCTCGCAAAGGCCTTTGATACTGTGCCTCACGATAACTGCTGGAAGTGCTTGAAAACTATGGAGTCAGAGGTACAGCGTTGATGGTTTTTGATAGCTATTTGAAGGGTCGAACACAGCAGGTAAGAATTAAAGATCAGTTGAGCACCCATGAAAAAATTGACCTAGGAATCCCGCAGGGTACTGTACTAGGACCTCTCCTATTTCATATTTACATTAACTCCTTACTTCAGGAGAATATCAACGGACAAATAATTTCATACGCAGACGATACTGTGTTAATTTTCAGCGATGATACTTGGGAGGGGGTCAGAGACAGAGCAGTGTGTGGAATTGGCATGATAAAAGACTGGCTGGACTATCACGAATTAACCCTAAATCTGCAAAAAACAAAATATATTGCGTTTTCTCTTACCGACATAAATAGACCTAATTTTGATTGTTTGCAGTTACAGCTAAGTTTAAAAATTAATGAAGTAGACAGTATAAAATACCTAGGAAAATACCTAGGAATAACAGTTGATAAAAACTTAAAATGGTCCAACCATGTTAATGACTTGTGTATTAAAACAAGGCGACTAGTATATAAATTCTATGAACTTAGGAAATTTTTGAGCAAAAAACTACTCATTACAATTTATAAAGCGCTTGTTGAGTCGGTTTTGCAGTGTGCTATAGTTGTGTGGGGTGGTCTGTACAATAAAGCTGGATTTATAAACTCGGGAGTTGAGGTTCAGTTGAGGTTCAGTTGCCGTTCAAAATGTTCAACGCTATGAAATGAACGCGCGCATTTATAAAGTCAGTTGGTCGAAAAGTTGGCAGTTCGTTTTACGTTCAGCGGAGTTCAAAGATGGTCAATGTTTATGTCGGCAGTTGCGGGCAGTTGGCGACCGCTGGCGACGTTCGGCGACAGCCAATGAATAAGTGCCTGTCGATCACGTGAAGCACAGTACGCCGATGCATTGGAAAATGACCCTTATTGTTGTTTCATTATTTCTGTTAATGTGATGTTTATATTTTGCGTAATCGTGGATTACTGTGTTTGAACTTTGACAAATACCAGAAGTATTTTTAAATCGAAAGAAAAACGTTTGAAATTTTCACAATTCCAAACCTAACCTACAACCGAAACTGACAGTTTATAAATGCAAAAATATTGAACCTCAACTGCCGCGAACATCCAACAGCAACTGAACCTCAACTGAACGCCAACTTCCGAATTTATAAATCCAGCTTAATGCTTTGGAACCACTGAACGTGGTACAGAATTATATACTTAAAGTGATCTTACAAAAACCAAAGTATTTTTCCACAAATTTGCTGTATGATGAAAACTTACTCAATCTTAGAATGCTATACTTTTTCAATAATTGCCTCTTTATACATAAAAACAAATATTTACAATCAAGAATTAAACACTCATACCACACGAGACATATTACTAATCAGAATTTAATTGTTCCTATTTACAAACGTGATGGTAATCGAAGGTTTGCTAAAACAATAGCACCTAAACTCTATAACTCACTACCAGTCAAATTAAAAAATATTTCTAACAATAAAAAATTTGCTAATATGTGTAGATCAATTGTGTTTCGTAACTATAAATATTATCTTCAATTTCTTTGAGCAATTTTGGATTTTGTGTATTTGGTTTTATGGGGTGGTGTAGGATGTTGTACTGAATATATATGTATAAAAGAATAATGTTTTGTAGTTAGATAGATAAGTAAAATAATTAATTTACAATTTTGTTAATTTTATACATTTAGATTTTAGATTTTGCACATACAGATCGTAGGTGATCTAGGTGCAATAATAAAATATGTTTTAAGATATTATACATAATTATTGTTATAGTATGAATGAATTATTGTAATATTAAATTTAATACTTGAATAAATTGAAATTGAAATGTAAAACAACAATATAAAATATACGTGTTTAAGAGTTTTTCCGAAAAACTCACCGATTTTTAAAAAAAAAAAATCTAATATTTGTGGGTTGGTTTCAGCCCCTTAGAATTTGAGTTTCGAAAAATCCCTTCTTATCGAACCTCTACACCCTAAAGTCAATCCGTTTTCCAAAAATCAGCTTTTTACGTCAAGCGCGCTTTAAGCGGGATCGTGATTGATCAATGACCAGATTTTTCGAAACACCCTGTATACATTTTTAAAAAATCTTAAAATATGTAAAAAAAGAAAATTAAATATAGGTGTTTAAGCGTTTTTTCGGAAACTTGACCGTTTTTTAAATAAAAAATATTGTAATATTCCACCCCCTTTTTACCCCCTTAGGGGATGAATTTAAAAAAATCCTTTCTTCTCTCACGTAAACATCATAAAAGGAACCCCTGTGCAAAATTTCAGCTTTCTAGGGTCAAGGGTTTGGTCTGGGCGTTGATGAGTCAGTGATGAATGAATCAGGACTTACAGATTTATATACCTATATAGATGATGCTGATGACTATATATAAGATCTAGATATAGTTGAACTCAATTACCTTTTACCTGCCGCGGCTGTTTCTGGTGGTGTGTTTCTGTCTTTAAAAACATTAATAACTTAAAAGCAAACCATTTTGAATTATCCACTTTATCTAAACCAGTACCTGATTTGCATTTCTTTTGTTCCCTCTGGAACTGACCTATTAGACAATACATTTTTTTCTCAACTTTTCTCTTACCAAATACTACTTTTTGCAATTTTTTACCATGCATCACGGTTTTTTTATTTCACTTTAAATGAGGGACTACGGATATCCCATAACACTGTATGATCTCTATACAACTTAATTAGTTGACAAGTCTGCTCTTGGCTCCATCTTGGCTCTACTCCATTAATAATATAAGAACCATACGATCGAAAAAAAAATGGCGTAAGCGATGGCTATGAAATGAAGATCGCTGTCATTTTATATGGAAAATGATATGGAGAATGTCATCGATCGTCATATCCAAGCCAACTGGACGGGAGGCCGACTGGAAGCAGTTTTTTTTTCGATCATACGGACGTTATTATTGACCATACGGTATAATTATTGACCAGTAAATAAACAAACC